ATCTCGATATTCCCTTCAAGTTTGTGACTGGGATACCGAGGATCACAAACAAGGTGTGAATAACCATGCAAATGTACTTGGTACTCTCGATGTCATTTACCACCTAATCAATGTGTCGGTTAACCATGCACACTCCATTGATCTATGATAAACATTGAACTACCCTTTGCCACAATTGTTAGTCCCAAATTAGTGTGCCGGTTATCCACGCACGCTCAACTAACGACTTGGCAGGGTGCAAAGTGTAATTTCATGGAATATCATCATTTCACATTTTTCCTAAAGTAACTAAGACTTGGAATTTAAAAAAAAAAAAACATTTAGTTACTTTATTAATCATTATACTTTTAATGAAGAATTAGTTGCCCTGTCCTACCCGTTTGGTTAACGACCCTCCACCAATCAAGGAAGCGGTGAGTGACAGTGGACACCCATTAAACTGTTATTTTATAGACAGCAACCTTATACCCCCCTTATAGATCAGCTTCGTGAATGAGGCCTACTAACGGTAAGACTAGCTTAATCTTATACACATATATAATTATTAATCTTATAATATTATAATAGTATAAGGGTTAAATTTCAAACTTGTAAAATTCTAGGGTTTGGAAATTAAATAATTCAAAATTAAAACTTTTAATTAAAAATTTTAATCCCAAAACTTGAGAGCAAGTTTTGAAACTGTTATAAACATCTTTTAGATCAAATTTGAAAAATAATTAATTAATCATATTATTAATATTTATGAAATAATTTGACATAATCTATTTTCTTGACAAGACAATTCAAATCAAAATACAAATAATTACATTTATGATATAAAACAAGTAATCATCTTATTTATGACAATTATCTTTCAATTGAATTAGGATAATCCATATCTTATTGTAAAAATCAGATTTTAACAGCCAAAAACGTTTTTAGTAATTATCCTAATTCAATTTCAGTCAAAATCCCCAAAAATCAGCCACCAGACTGCCCGGCTCGCCGAGTCAGAGAATGGACTCGTCGATTTGCCCTGACTCGTCGAGTTCATCAGGTGACTCGACGAGGTCATCAGGTAGAAGCATGATTTTTTGATTTTCAACTTTGAACAATTTTAACAATGCATCAAATACAAAAGAAAAAAGACCCAGGCTTTGATACAAATGTTGGGTTATGAGAAAATCAGCATTCCTATGGTGCACATGCAAACCCTAAAGCTTTGGATCTAGGTTTTTCTATTTGTACATGCAATAATCATCCAAATCTCTCAAACCCTAAACTATCATACAACAAAACTGAAAACAACATAAATAAACTAGTAAGAATGTTACCTTTGATTCTTGCTTGAAGATCTTGAGCTTTTGAGAAACCTAGCACCTCAAATATGATGCCTCTAATGAATCACAAACACCAAAGCAAGTGGATGATCTTGGAGAGGGAGGGGGAAGGCTCAAAGTCAGCTCTATATCTCTAGGGTTCAAGTGGTAGCCGAAATTGTGAAGCCTAGGGTCCCTTATATAGGTGAGGAATTAAGGTTTCAGGCAAAGACCTCATCCGGTTGCTTAGGCTCTAAGCAGCCCACAAGAATCTTCCAGAACAAAGCCCCTTGGACAAAATCCTTATGGGCTCCCATAAGATTTTGTCCAACCGCTTTCCAAGGGTTCCTCAGCCTAAAATGCAATCATCTTATAATTACAAGCTCAGTCCCCTTAATTCAATTAACCTCTTTTGACCACAAAATTAATTATAAATTAATTCTTGATCATTGTTAATTAAATAATATGATTTCTCCTTTAATATATTATTCATATAATATATTAATAAACCATAATAACCTCTTTCTCCGTTATTCATCCAGTCAAGTTGCTCTGGTAAAGGCAACCCAAAAGGACCATGCTACAACCGGGTCAAGTACATACCAAATATAGTTATGGGCTTAGACACTAATCCAACAAGTTCTACATCAGATCTCTCTAGATCTTGATCAGATCTCATCAGATTTGCATCGGATATCACCAGATCTGATGTGTTTATGATTTTCAATTCAGATCTGATCTGATCGGCACACAAGATCTCGAGATTTACGAAGTTTCGAACACCAGATCTACTACCTAACACCAAATATTCATCAAATCTGATGTGTATGATGCATTTCATGTATGGATCAAGTGTATCTCTTACATTTCATGTTGGCTTGTATCAGATCTGATTTTTGAAGATAAATCTTCAAAAAAAAACAAGGTATGTCGATTTTTATAGATAAATCTTCTTAAAGTTTTGTTTTCTACTTGCATCTATTGTAGTTCTCTATGATATAGTATTGTTTGTTTGTTTTTTCTGTTAAAGTGTGAATTTGATGTTTTAATCTCTCATTTTTCGTATAAATTTGTTAATCTTAGTTTTAACTGCTATAAGTTGTGAATGTATAATTTTTTATTGAATTAAACTTTGAATTTATTATACTAGTTTGTGAATTCTCTATATTAAATTGTGTATTAATTTTAGTAAGTGTTTTAAGTTGATAATATGGATGTGCATACTGCTTTTTGTGTTTCAAAATGTGAATTTAGTGTACTAAGTTGTGATTCTTGTGTTTTAAACTGTGAACTGATTACATTAAGCTTTGAATTTTCTTTTTAAGCTACGAATTGACTGTATTAAGTTGTGCATTTTCTGTTTGAACTGTAAATTGACTAGATTAAGTGGTGAAATATGTGTATGAAACTATGAAGTTACTTGTATTAAGTTAAGCTATGAATTTTGTGTATAAACTTTGAATTTACTATATAAAGAGTGTTAAGTTAAAAATATGGTTGTGGATGCTTACTTTTTTGTGTATTAAACTTTGAATTTGGTGTACAAAACTGTGATTTTTTTTTTTTTTTAAATTGTGAATTGACTGCATTAAACCATGAATTTTCTTCTTAGACTATGAAATGACAATATTAAACTGTGATTTTTGTGTTTTAAACTGTAAATTGACTGAATTAAACTGTGAATTTTCTTCTTAGACTATGAATTGACTATATTAAGCTGTCAATTTTGTATATTAAATTATGAACTGATTGTATTAAGCTGTGAATGAATTGACACTAAGTTATGATTATTTTATAATTTTTTTGTTTGCTTTTGAAATAATGTAAATTTTATTCACTGCTTAATATATTAAATTCACAATTTAAAATATAAATGATTTATGTATAAATTTTTTTTGTTAATTTCCTTTTGAATATATTTATTTTTTGTGTTGTATAAGTATGTAAGAATACATTAGTTTTAATAATACTTTTGCATTAAATTCAAAATGAGTGAAATAAATGGTTTTATTAGACTGTGAATGTAATATTTAAGTTATTAATGCATGACTTTATTTACAGATCTGACTTAGAAGAAAATGATGGTTGCGATGCTGGTACACGTGGTTAGTGGCAGGGTGTTGTGGTGGTAGTAGTAGAGTTTGAATTTTTTATTTCTTTGAGTTTGTGAATTATTGTAAAATGATTGTATTAAGTTATGAATTAAACTATAAATGGACTATATAAACTTGTAATTTATATGAGTTTTGTGTTCAAATATGAGAGCATATAAGAATGAAAATATTATACTGCAAAAATTACCATTTTGCTCTTTTTGTATCAAAAAGAGAAAAAAAAAAAAATAGAATTTTCACATGTTTAATAAGAATATCACGTAAATATTTACTAATTAATGGGGGTTCTTAAGGTTCTTAATCTTTTGTGGTTCTCATTTGAACCACTCCGTGTGTGTATATAAATGAAAGTTTTTTTTTTTTTTGCCACTTGTTACACTCTCATTCAATTTGCTAAATATCATTTTGTGGTTATTTTGAATTAATTTTTATTCACATGTCATTTTATGATTTTTCTATTTTATTAAATTTCACATAATATTTTAATATAATACTTACAGTAAATGTATTAATAAATGGATATCAATTTCATTAATAAATTTACTTTTTAATTCCAAAATTCTTAAAATTAAAGCTTATTAGCTTATTTTAGTTATTTAAATTAGCATTTGTTAAAATTTAAAAGATAAAAAACATTTCTATTACAATAATTCAATATTTTTCTTATTTTCTTATTAATTGAAAATTTTCAAATATTTACTTTTTTTTTAAATTAACTTATGTAATACATGAACCTTACAACTAATATATATATATATATATATATATATATATATATATATATATATATATATATATATATATATATATATATATATGAAAACCTAAGATGCAAAACTTTTTTTCCATGAAAGGAAGTAATTAGGTATTGATATTGATGGGTTCCATTCTTTAAATAAAAATAATGGGTTATATGAAGAGGATATCATTATAGGAGTTTAAAATTCTTAAAGAAACTTTTAACTACTTTGTAACTTATCCTGTTACCCATAAAAGTCGGCAAATTTGACATATGTTATATTTTAATTTTTAATTGGTTAGATGAGCAAAATAATTTCCAGTAGAAAGTATTCGAAATCGTTTTAAAGTGTACATTCACTCTATAAAACTTACTAAATCTGTTATTTTGAAAATAACTATATTTTATTATAGTAATATGACTATATTATTATCCAGTTGTTAATTATTTATTAAAGTTGGAAAAATGAGGACTTACAGATTAATTTAACCGACTATAAGGGTGGATAGAGTCTACAACATTTAACTAAATTTTATATATATATATATATATATATATATATATATATATATATATATATATATATATATATATATATATATATATATATATATATGAGTAGGATCAAATGAGAACGCCTAAAAGGTTGAGAACGTGAGAACAATTATCAGCCAATCATTTTATTAGGGTATTTAAGTAAATTTGTATTTAATCTATTTTTTAATTAATATAATACAATTAATAATCAATATATTATCCATTAATATTTTCCTATAATTAAGGGATATTCCATAGTTATCGTTCAATGAGATATTGAATTGAAGATACGATTTCCAGGGACGATTTCGAGTATAGCAATCGGATTTTCAGTCGAATTTTGTATATTGTTAATCATTTACGTTTGAAGATAACAATGCAGTATACCATTCGTGATTCAAATCAATATCGATGTCGGACTGTTTTGATTACAGTAGCGATGATACAGAAGATGATGATCAATATGGCGCAGAAGACATCAACTGTAATGAATATAACGACGACGATTTCTATAAGTCTGATGATCAATTCGACGGAAGAAATCAAATCTCTGATTATGCTAGTGAAGGTAACTAATGAAAACAATGTCCAAATCTTGTAATTATATATCGTGTTTTTCAATAGTTATTGAATTTTTATATATGTTGAATAAGACTGGAGTACATATTTGTATATGATTAGTCATATACGTTGCATGTATTAATTACGTAATGATGGTTTATATTACATATCGTTGTACAGGAGTCCCTCGTTGGTGATTTTTTCTTAAGTTTAATACAATGTTGATTAAGTTTGATAATCATTGGTGATTATGCGTTAATACGACTCAAATATGTAAACAATTCAACTCTGGTTACTGTTTCACAGACGTTTATTATGATTATAAAGTTCTTTAGTTTATGTATACGTAATTCATAGAAATTTATATCAGGTTTTGCATGTCGCATTATTGTTTTTTGTTGTCTTAAAAAACAGGTACAAATCGAACTGATTCTGAAGAGGAATCATTCAATAGTAATGTTGTTGACTCGCCTGGTGGGAAAACCAAGTTGTGGAAACCTATTGTTCCTAAAGATTTTATGCCAGATGTAGATGCTATATATCAATCATTAGAGGAGGCGGTTGAAATGTATAAATTATATGCAGATAAAGCAGGTTTTGGTGTCAGGTTAAATACAGTAACGAGGTTTGGTGACAAAACCATTAAAAAAAGGTATGTAGTGTGCAACAAAATGGGTAAAATACCTAACAGATCAACTGACACTTTGGATCCTGAGGGGAGTGGAAGGAATAAACGAAACTCAAACTTCAAAATTACGGACTGCAAGGCATTGATAAAGTTTGAAAGGTTACATATGCAAACTAATGCTTGTAAAATATATGAGTTTGAAGAGAATCACAACCACCCCCTAGAGACTAAAGAAGAAAGACGGTATTCCAAACGTGCACGACGACTTAGTTATAAAGACAAGGAGTTTATAGTGCGTTCTTCAACATCTAACATTGGAGCAACAAAGTCACACAAGTTACAAGCTAGTTTGCAAGGAGGTTATGAAAACGTTGGCCCTGAAGCAATTGATTATAAAAATTTCAGAAGGAAGGTGGGAAACATTATAGGTAACAAGGATGCACAGCTGGTTGTTGACAAAATGAACATGAGGAAAGATGAGTTTCATAATTACACATTTGAGTATAAATGTGTTGATAGTGTGTTAAACGCAATATTTTGGGCGGATGAAACCGATAAGTTATATTACAAGGAGTTTGGAGATGTGATATCATTTGATGCTACATTCCGAACAAATAAGTATGCTCTTATACTCATTACACATTTTTTTAAGTATAAATATTTATGTTTTTTTGACTTCGTAATCAATATTGAATTTGTTTTTAATTACCTTTTTGATACAGGTATGGAATGATTTTTGTGCCGTTTACAGCCATTGATAACCACAAACGTTCAATAAACATTGGGGCAGGTTTGTTAAGCAACGAGTCAATAGAATCTTATCGTTGGTTGCTCGAAGCTTTTTTGAAAGCACATGTGAAACACCCTCAATTAGTGTTAACAGACCAAGATCCAGCAATTCTATAGGCCGTTGAAGCAATATTTCCTAATTCTAATCATCGTTTATGTATGTGGCACATTATGAAAAAACTACAAGCCAAGGTGTGTATATTTTGGCCTAAGTTAGCACGCAACATGATTTATTCAACAATGATTTACACAGTTTTACATATTTTTAATAACGATTAGCATACATATTGTTTATTCATAGTTAATCTAATAAATTTCTATTTTTTTTAGGTTTCAGCCGATTTTTTGAAAAACACTGATTTTCGCAAGCGTTTTACAAAGCTTGTATGGAATGTCTATATCGAGCCTGAAGTGTTTGAATCAAGGTGGAAACTGCTTATGAGAAAATTCAAACTACAGGACAAAAGATGGTTCAAAGACATGTACAGGGATCTAAAACTTTGGATTCCAACCTATTTTAAAGATATGTCACTACACGGTTTGATGAAAACTACTTCAAGGTCTGAAAGCGTGAACTCATTTTTTAATAAATACTCTAACTCTGGTAATTTGCTTATCTATTTCATGATGAACTACGACACCGCAATTGAAAGAAACGAAATGCTCAACAAAAACTAGAACATGATACAAAAAATGCAAAGCATGAAATGACGCTTCCAAGTGGCTTACTAGAACATGCAGCTGCGGTTTACACAAAAAAAAATTTCTATGAGGTCAAAAAGGAAATATTTAAAGCAGCCTGGTACTGTTCTATCGACAGTGTTGAAAAGATTGATGGGTGGCAAGTTGTTATGATTACACAAACGGATAAGAGCAAACAGTTGAAGATAAAATGCAAGGTTATATTCATCGTTTAAATGCTTTTCATTAGTCATCATACAAGTATATTATCTAATTATTTTTAAATTACATATATTTTTTCATTATTATGCAATAACCACCAACTAATATGTTACTTCAATCAGTTACTAACATACATTATTTTTATTATACAATGTAGGTTGAACTAAAGTTGCCTGAAAAAGAAGTTAAATGTTCATGCAATCACTTCATACGTACTGGCATTTTGTGTCGTCATATTTTTGCTGTATTGAAAAACAACCATATTGAAGAGATTCCAGAGCAGTATATTCTAAGAAGATGGAGAAGGGATGCAATTTCCAGCCATTTGTTTGCCATGAAACATGTTGCCATGGAAATAGAAGATGACACCTTTAAACTTTTAACAGAGGCATACAGCAATATTGAATACTGCTTGGATCATTTCAAAAGAAGCAAATAGAAATTGTTGGAGTTTGTTGAAAAAACACGTACGTTGAAGCAGGCAGCAATGGAGTTTGCCAGTTCCAACCAAACGTCATCTGATAACGATGAAGAAGAAATTATTCGGATGCTTGGAATACGCAGCATTCCTGATGAAATAAATATCCAACCACCTGCATCTATACGTACCAAAGGTAGTGGAACTAAGAAAAGAATGGTTAGTGCTATTGAGAAAGCCGTTGCAACTGCAAAGAAAAAAACCAGAATGTGCACAGGTTGCAATCAATATGTTAACCCTAATTGGAGGACTTGCAAAGTAAGACTTGCACGAGAGTCAAAAGTAGCTTAAAATTGCCCAGTCATTTTCCCAATAGATTTTACTTTTCTATTACACTTATGAATAAGAATATGTTTCTATGATTTAGTAGGTTATGTTATCTTAAACCACTTTCATTACTTTTAACGTTTTTATTTTATTCATAGATGAATAATAGCAATGCCAAATTTGGTAATGCTAACAGATTAATGACAATATCTGGTATTTAAACCTCTTTTATTAGATTAAAACAGTTCGCACTTACAATAGATATACTTGTGCTTTTTTGAAATTATAAAACCATCAATCATTATATACTATAGTCATATACAATCCAAGCAATATTCATAGTTTATTGTATGCTGTTAGTAGTATATCTTAATAACAAATGTTTGTACGATTAACTTTTAAAATAGCTATACATCATATATTGATTTACGTTTGCGTTTGGGTAAATTTTAGTCATAAGTTTAACCATGGTTGACTTTAAACCCTTAAGTATAGTCAATAATGAATAACATCATAAATACATTAATTATTTTCAACATATTGATGATATGAACATTGTTAAATACTATTCTGTTTAAGATAAAACAATTTGCATTTAAATTAAAATATGTTAGGAATACTTCAAGTAAGTGTTTATGTTATTATTCAATATTTAAATAACAACATACTTTAAGATATAAACCCACCAACAATCATTATATAATATAGATATGTTCACTTTAACTATTAAAAATTCTGATTGTATGTTCATAGTAAAATAGCATATTAACAAATGTTTGTTAGTTATAATCATTACTGAATATACAGTAAAACTATACCATCAATGTTAATCATCATTTTCTAAGATAACTTAATTATTCAAATGTTAATGTAAAAATATAAATACTAAAATATCACTAGTCCATTACTAAAATTAGCAAACCAAAAGTAAGTATGTAGGTTGAACTAAAGTATAATATGTTAGGAATACTTCAAGTAAGTGTTTATGCTATTATTCAATATTTAAATAACAACCTACTTTAAGATATAAACCCACCAACAATCATTATATAATATAGATATGTTCACTTTAACTATTAAAAATTCTGATTGTATGTTCATAGTAAAATAGCATATTGACAAATGTTTGTTAGTTAGAATCATTACTGAATATACAGTAAAACTATACCATCAATGTTAATCATCATTTTCTAAGATAACTTAATTATTCAAATGTTAATGTAAAAATATAAATACTAAAATATCACTAGTCCATTACTAAAATTAGCAAACCAAAAGTAAGTATTGTACGTACAGCAACCCAAGTTAACATCCTTAGCATACAAAAGCATTGTTTTTAATCCATCCAAAAGAAACCATTAAAGTCATAACTAAAATTACTTTTTTAAAACAATTAACTTAAAACATCCAATCTCCTGTGAATTTCTTCCTTTGCAATGGCCAACATTTGAGAACGTTGTTTTGAAGGAATCTTGTGGAATTCATCAACCTTTTGCAGCACATAATCCTTTTGCACATTATATTCATGAGTGAGTATTTTGTATAAATACTTTGTCCTCAGTTTAACAAGTTGATCATCTTGTGCAGAAGACTCGTTCTTGAATCCAGCTTTAAACTCATTCATACTTCCCCCATATATGTTTCCATGTGACGCATCGTAAACACACCACAATCAATGCTGTTGTTTATTGTTCTCCAAGGCATTTCCAGTCTATGTGGCATCACATGTGAAAACATCTCAGCTTTTGGATGATTCTGAGATTTTAAGTAATCAACTATGTACTCTTTCTGAAAATGTAAAAAAAAACATTGTCAACACATATTAAATTTTATTAAGTATGTAAAGTAATTTTTATTAATCACTTACAATGATTTGGGGCAACTGACCATATCTCTCACCATCAGGATCATCAACTTTGCTGTTGTCAACGATTACAAACTCTGGTTGTTGTAGATTGATCACAAAAAGGAAAATGTGGAAGGAACGGATGATTGGTAGGAAAAGCTGCAACGTTTATTAATTACAATTGTATTCACTTTATTTAATATTCATATTTGATCAATGATAAATACACATGTAAGTAAACTGTGGAGATATATCTCTTACCAGTCCAACAAAACGTAGGCTTGCGTCCATATCTTCAATAGAAAGCACCAAATTCTCAATGAATTTATCTTTACGTTGACTTTCTGTTAAACCACTTTCTAGATACGAATTCTGTGATCGATTTTTAAAAACTCATTAACTTCTTTATATGTTTGTATTTAAAAAATAATATAATCAACATTGAACAATATTAACTTATACCGTCACATCTGTCTTGCAATAAACTCTCAGGGGCGATTCAGGTGCACGCTTACTTTCATCAAGATTCAACACTTGACTCCAACAATCAATGACATGGCCAAATAGTTCACATGTTGGAAAAAAACTTTCCATATGAAACCTCTGTGCAGAAAACCCATCCAGAGTGTGGAAAACTATATCACTGCAATAGACGTGAACAATTAATACTATTTTTAATGAGCAAACAATAAAATTAAGTAATTTTAAAAATATTTTAAATGCAACTTACTTTGGATCTCCCTGGAGAGAGAATATCCATTCTGCTACACGTTTTTCCTGCCGTGGAACTCCTTTGATGATATCAACAGCCCGTATAACGTAAGGAGATTTCAGATATTCGGATTTCATGCGAGGCCTGTACCCTCTTCTACTAACCCAATGTTCATCTTTGTTGAATGGTACTACAGACAAAGGAATTGGCATTTCCATTTTAGATGGTGGTGTATTCTTAAAAGATTTTGTTCCAGATCTATTCGCGAAATCTGCATATTCCTGTGACATTTGAATACTACATTTTGCTAACGGGGAGTTGTCAAACTGTTTGTTAGTTGTAGCTAGAATCAGCGTACGTTCAATTTCAGCCTCGTTATCATACCACCATTGAGATTGTTCTGGTTCCTCTGATGCAGAAACTTCAGTAAACAAATCATTTACTTTGTTTTTCCATTCTTTGACCAACTGATTATCAGGATATTTCTTGACAGCATCATTTATTTTGTCTTCCAACACTTTCTTTTGCTGCAATATCATGTCGTACATCTCCTTTATTGTTGAAACAGTTGTCTAATTAGGTCACCACAATAGAATTATGTTACAAACCAAATAAAAATATTAATATGTCAGTTAGTATTAATTAATACTGTAGAAACTCATTATTCAAATGTGAATAGGTAGTTAACTACCTCAACACTTTCCCCACTTCCACTAAAAATATCATCTCCATGATTTCCCTACGAAAAGCAACACAATATTAGTTGTTGTACTAATAACTTATTATTTAGTTATGATTATATTATATTACTACCTTACACCTTACATCTCCTGCATCATTTCCCTATCAATAATTTATGAATGTAATTAATTTATACTATACCAAATAAACAAATAATAAATTTCATATGCATTGTTCAATACAATAAAATATTACCTGAACTTTTTCTTGCCCTACATTACCAGTTCCCAAATGCTTCATTGATGAATTGAAATGGATCTTGCAATTCACCCATACCCAGACCAATTGTCCTACACTCTACTCTTTCTCGCTCACGTAGTTTATCAACACTCCAACAACATATTGCTGGTCTGCATCGTACAATCTTCACTGAATCGCATCGAACACTTTCTAGGTATAGCAACTACAACAAAGACAAATAAAAAATGTTTTACTTAAATACACTTTAATGAATCTACACACATAAGGCTACAAATATTGAATGACAGTTTAATTTAAAACAAATCCTTACCAGCAGTAATATAATTGGCCCAACATAGAATCCTTTTTTGTTGTTTGGATTCCACGCACTTTTTGTCTCCTTAAGGCAATCAAAAACATATCCACACCAATCAATGTCACTTAGATCCAGATCTTTCGTCACTTTTGATAACATCGACAGGTCACATGTGCCCATGCTCATCGACTGACCTAGTGTATTACACAACAGGACAAAGATGTTTACTTTAAACATTAAATCCGCACGTGTTGACTGCATAATAACTTGTTGAACTGCCCTTGGTCTAATATTATCTTCATCTTCGAATTGTTTTCTCCAAACAGTTATCGTGTCATCTGTGACTTCTCTATAAGGCATAGACTTTATTGTAACATGTCCTAGAGGCAGACCCAACATTTCGTGAATAACTTGCCGATTGATTGGTATCTCTCCATGATGAAGTTTGAGTACCATCCTATCTGCGTTAAAATTCCTTACAATATAATGCCCCATAATTGATGCACACCCATCCACTTTCATCTTCAACAAATGCCCCAGACCAATAGAAGAAATATAAGCTTCCTGTTCCATGCTAAGGTTATGCACACAACTGTACAAAACACTTGGAGATGTCCGTACTTGTATTCGCTTAGCTTCTTCTGCACCACTTGCTACAACTTTAGGATGTTTTCTTGGCTTTAATACATTTCCTTCTTTATTCCTTTGTCTTTTAAATTTCTTCACATTTTCTTTGTCATCATCTTTGAATGAAGTATGATGCCTTCTCTTTTTCCTTGTTACCACAGTTATGTCAGCTTCAAAATCAGAGTCTTCATCTTCGTCAAGGTTCTTGACAGCAACATTATCTTTTCCTGTTAAGACAAATTTAACACTATAAATGATTATAAATAAATTACCAAACCAATGCTATACTAAATTTATTAAAGAAAATAACACTACCTGAAAATGAGTTTATAACAACAACTTCATCACCTTTTGTTTTACAATTAGACAACATAATCATCACTGAAGATACTTTAATATATAAGTTACATTTCATGAAATCATCATTCATACCTTTTTTTTCTGTATATTTTTTTTAGCTTTAGAAAACCTTGAATTTCCTCCATCAACCTTCTTCACATTGACTTTGGGTTTCCTGTTTTTTTTCTATTAATAAATACAAAACAAACAAGTTATTAAAACTAACTACAACATCAAACTCTAAATAAATTTATTTCTAAACAAGTACATTACTTGAATCTGAGCTCAAAACTACAACTTTAAGATCCCTTCGCATTGAATGAGCTGGTGTGCGATTAACACGTTCCCCCACACCTGTCCAAAAAATAAGACACATAATCACTATAGATTCAAATTGATATTTAAAATTTTAAATTTCATATAATCATCATCACCACCAGTTTGATTTTTAGTTTTCTTCTTAGGTGTTGAAAACTTCTTCTGTCCTTCTCTTCTAATCTGAGGTTGTACTAGTTCGTTTCCTTCATTGTCTGCATCTTCAATATCAATAAGCAATGGATTGGATTCTTCATTAGTGAATTTGCTGAATGTCGTCTTTAGTAATATCCTCTCGCTTTTCTTTCTACCTAATAATAGCATTAATATACCTTAATCATTTATAACTCAGAATTGAAACATTAACAACTCAAATAATCATCCATTATACATTCTACATTAAACACATACCCAAAAAACAGAGGAATGTTTACAATAATCATCAATAAACAAACAGTGTAGTTAACTTACTCACGTAAAACAGTTGGGACTCATACATCATTATTCTTTACATACAAAACATAGCAACAAAGTACATATTCACAAATGACTATGTCTTTAACAATATAAAATCATACAACCAACAACAAGGAATAATACTAGAAAAAGTACTTATGTCTCAAAAACAATCGGATTTTACAAGTAATCAGTAGTAATAAATGACATTTATACCCTTTGTTATTATTTTTCTAATAAACACCATTCACAATCGAATACTAACATCAATTACTCCTCTTCTCCCCAAAATCAGAGTAATGTTTACAACAATCATAAACAAACAAACAGTGCAATTAACTTACCCACATAAAACAATTTGCACTCCTACATCATTAATCTTTACATACAAAATCATGTACAGGATCAAAACCACATACATACTCAATAAAGTACCCATTCACAACTGAATATCACTTTAACAATATACAAAACATACAACCAACAACAAGGATTAATACTAGAAAAGTACTTTTGTCGCACAATCGGATTTTACAAGTAATCATTATTAATGAATGACATTCTCACAATTCGCTATTATTTGTCAACTAAAAAACATTCACAATCGAATACTAACATCAATTACTCTTCCTGTGCTACTTATGATGTAAAAAAACCCCTAATTTTTGGGTTTACGTAACCTTATTTCAGTTCAAAGTAGTCGACTATGATTACACATGTATATTCATCTTATAACTATCAAACACAATCATAAACTGTTGATTTTTAAGCACATTCAATTATCACAATACCGTAAATTCGGAACTCATCTATAATTACCATTTTCATTTTAACAATCAAATACACCAACGTGTTATTTGTGAAACAAAACATTTAAAACAACATTCATCAGAGATGAAGAATAACTACAGTTCATAATCGACGATATAAAGAAAAAACGAAAGACCCAACTTCTAGGGTTTTAAGAATCGTCAAATGTACACATTATAAAAACCTAAACACACTAATACACACGTTTTCCAGTCAATCGACATTCAATAAAGATTAGAAAACTTACTTCTTCCACTTCGATTGATCAACGACGACATTCCTCCACCTACGACGCTTCACAAAGTTCAGAATGCAAAATAACTCTTCACGAATGAACAGTATTAATCGAATGTGGTATAATCGTTTATCTGTGACGCTATTTTTCTTTCAAGATATGATCGAATCATCCAAAACATTAGAAGTTAACTGTGATTACTAAAACATAGGAACGGTTTCTTTTAATTTTCAAACTTACCCGATATATTCAAATTGGATGACATCATAAAATTACTTGAATACCCTTTTATATTTTTTTTAATTAAAAAAACAATTAAATTCATTTATTAATTTCTTTAAATTAATTAACAATGAGATCCTTAGATTATAAATATTTAATGTACCAGATTTGTTCTCGCGTTCTCAACCTTTTAGGCGTTCTCATTTGATCCTTTCCCTATATATATATATATATATATATATATATATATATATATATATATATATATATATATATATATATAGTTAGATTCAAATGTTTTTAGCAACTATTGTGTGCCTAAATACACCAATGAAAATTCAAGAAATAATAAATAATTAACTAAATCATTAAAGGGTATTTTGGACTTTTTGTACTTTTATTTAAGAAAATTATTTAATTGAATTCATTCAATTAAGGAAATAAACTAATCAATTAATTAAGGAATTAAACTAAAAATATTTGACCTAGTTATGTTTGTGGTTGAACACTTCATCATCGGCGTCAACACCATCACCATCAACCTAGTTATGTCGACGAGGCCAAAGGGAAAAGGTTGTGAAGAAGTCGAGGTCTTCGTCTTTAGTTGATCCGGGAAGAAACCAAATTAAAGATTCAAACCAAGGTGGGGTATCGGAGTTGGCGAAGCAGCTCCGCCGAGGGAGGGATAGCCGGCAGGAAGGGCTGCGTCGGCGATCTCTTTTCTTTTCTGGTTTGATCGGTATCCAATCATGAAGGGGGAGAAAGGACTTCGGTCCTCTGTCTTTGTCTGCAGAAGAGGAACTTGATGGGAAGCAGTCACAAGGGTGGTTCTGTGGTGCTCGTGGATCGTTGCTTCTTCTTCTCCGGTGAACTGTGCCAACAGGTAAAAGAAAATTCTTTTTCTTCTTTTTGTTTTTGTTTGATTGCTTGATAGAAATCAAAGGAAAGAATTTGTTTTTGGGTTTTCCTAAAAAAAATGATGATAATGAAAGGGGTATGGGTTTGATTGTTTGAACATAACTCATGGTTTGTTTGGGTTTTGGTATTTGACAGGGGAATTCATGGGTGTTTGTTTCTTGTGTTCTTGACTGGGAACGAATGCAGATGTGTGTTGACGATTCAACCGGCGTTTGTTTTTGTCGTTGATGGTAGTTCAAGTGAGGATGAACTTCAAGCACTTAAGAATGAGTTGTTGTTGATTGTTGCACAGTTGCCAGAAAATGCCATGGTGGGGCTGATTGTTTTTGATTCAATGGTGAGGGTGTATGATCTTGGGTTTACTGAGTGTTTACAGGTGGTTGTCTTACATGGTGAATGCAAGCCTTCTTATAGCCAGGTATTCCAAATTTGTTTCTTTTCTGTTCATTTTCATCTTCTTCTTTACCTTGCTGTGAATTATGAATACATACTCTAGTGTTTAGTGGGAATGAATGCATATGCGTGTTGATGATTCAATCACAGCTATTGAATTCTATATTCAATCACGACTCTTGAGTTATGTAATGTATTCTACTAGAATTTATTTTATATAGATGTATCTAGTTAGAATGTTTGAGAATAATTGTCAACAACAAGTACATTCTGTCAGAATTTATAATTTTTATTCTCTTCGAATGCATTGAATTTTTTAATTTTCAAAACTTGATTATGTTTTCTTTGTGGATTTAGGTTTTGAAGAGGCTAACATTGATGTAGAGAAGGAAGAAAACATAGAGAACGAGAGTGTATTATACTAGAATGTATTATGCTACAATGTATAAAGTATTGCTAAAATATAATATTCTATTAGAATAGATTAGTGTTTTTGTTAGATTGTAATGTTTTTTTTCTTTTTTCTTTCAGAATATTGTTATTATTCAATGAATCATAATCATACAACGTAATTATTTGGATATTATTAGTTCAAGAATTGATTTTATGTATTCTTTTTAGAATGTATTTACTAGTTTATGGTTGGTATTTTGTCATTCTGACAGAATATAATCGACGAACATATTTACTAGTTTATGGTTAACATTCTACAATTCTGATAGAATAAAATCGAATTTCTATTTTTGAATTAATTTAAATATTCAGATTTTTAAAAATAAAGGAATTAATTATCCCTAAAAATCCGAAAATTTCCTTTTTTAATATAGGTTAATTGACTAAAATGTTTTTATGCTGAAATTTGTGTGATTATATGGTATATGTTATCATATTCTACTATCATAGACCCTCAGATCATTACATTTGATTATATGCCGATAGTCCAGATCTGTGCATTCTGACACACAATAGTTACTATAAACAAAATAACCTAGCCATATATATATATATATATATATATATATATATATATATTCTTTTCTCCGACTATAAATATCACACTTAACTATTTAAGGACGGTAAACGAACTAAAAGTTCAGCGAGCTGTTCATGAGCCGTTCGGCAGAAAGTTCGTTTATTTAATAAATGAATGAACAATAACACAAATACTCATTCGTTTAGTTAAACAAACGAACATAAATTGTGTTTGATTATGTTCGTTTATTTAATAAATGAACGAACTAAACATTCGTTTATGTTCGTTTATATAAGTTTATTTTATCTTCACATATGTTTAATTGTGTTTGCTTACATTACTATATTATATATTCATATAGGTTCAATTATGTTTTTTTTTTATCTTTGTTCATTTATATTCGGTTAGCATGGTCACAGACATAAACGAACGAATATGAACAATGTAATTTTTAAAACGAATGAACATGAATAAGAAAACTTGTTCGTTTATTCGTTCATGTTCGTTCATTTATTTAGCTAACTTTAACGAACGAACATGACCACACCTCGTTCGTGTTCGTTCGGTTCGTTTACATCCCTACCCTTAACCACTTCTAAAACAACATATTTTTTCCAATTATATTCTAGTTCTAATTTAAATGGATTGAGTCGTGACCAATCCCCTCCCAATCTCGTCACTCAAATCCAAAACGAAAAGTCAAATGACAAATCAACAAAACGTAAAAAATACAGAAAGTTCTCTGAACAGGAAGAGGCGACGTTTCAAAATGCTTACGTTGACATTTTGGAAAATGAACGTGGAAACAAGCAAAGAGCAAATGTTTTTTGGGTTGAGTTCTGGAACACTTTAAATTTAAACTTTGTGGTTTGGATCCTTTAATGCATCAAATTAACTCAAAATGGAAGGACATGTTGGTGAAAGTTAGCAATTTCAATTACGTATTCACCCAAAAGACGAATACATGTGCATCTGCAAGTTCCGAGCTCAATATGTTTTAATTCCAACAAAAATTGAGTATACCAACACAACAAAATGAAAGAATTTTCGCTTAAGGATGTCCATGATAATTTTATATCCACTTTAAATGATTAATATTTTAATTATTTTTTTTTAATTTTAATTGTTGTTTTATCATTTTATCTACCGTTTCGAGTAATTTACCCTTTATTTAATAAAATGATATCTTTATATTTAGTTTAAATTTTTTAATTTTATACTAGTTAATATTTTATTATATATATATATATATATATAATATATATATATATATATATAATATAATATATATATATATATATATATATATATATATATATGGGCTGGAGAGATGGATTTCCATGAGGTGTTGATAAAAGGGATGAAAATAAGATGAGAGATAAAAGTTGATATAATAGTGAGGTGACAAATGGATTCGGAGAGGTGGGAAGGTCGAACGCTCGTCATCCTAAAAAAAGATTAATTAAGGTTTACGTGCCTTTAGATTTATTATACCAAATAAATCTCAGATTCTTTCTTTTGTGTTTTTAGAAAGCAAGCACCAAAAATACGACTGCTTCTAATGGCTTACACCAAAAACCTAGAAACTCTAGAATGAAGAGGAGAGAGAGGAGAGGGATATAAGTTTTGTTCCCAAGCTTGTAGGTAAATGTATGAACGAAATTTATTAATATTGGGGGTCCTATTTATAGTTTAGTTAACTTGCACGCAAAACCAGATTTTAATTAATTAAATAATAGACTTAATCCCTATTCAAATCATTTCCTTATCTGCATTAAGGAGATTTTTAGAAACCTTAGGAATCAATCTAAAGTGTCTATACCATAAATGGTTCTAGAATTACTTCTTTTGTTCAACTATTGAGCAATTATATTTCACTGATTGCACATTTAATTAAGTCCAATTAATCCCAAATTAATTTCAGATTAATTTTGTTTAACAGTTAATTAATTCTTATTGATTTCTCATTAGTTTATCAATTAATAAATCAATTATTTAACTATTGATATTAATCACATAACAAATTAACATATCAATTATCTATTTCCAATTAATATATTAACCACATAATATATTTACAAATCACATTCCTCACTCTTTCTTCTAATATCATTTCTAGTTATTTTTTGTTATGAAGGCACCTCAAAAAGGATTTTTCTTCTATTTGCAAGTTTATACCAATTTAGTTATGAGCTTAGACACCTTAATCCAACACTCTTCCATTGTTGAACACTTATTCAAATCAAATGTCGGCCCTAAGATAAGTGACCAGCTATTCCTTTGTTCTTAGAGATATCGTATGAATAGAGTCATGTAGTAAATGATCAACATCATGCTCATTTGTTTGTTTTTCAGTCTCCGATTTAATGATCAAATTCATACTACAAAATCAAACACATTAATTTAGTATGGACCAGGCCTGGTTCTTATAAAACAACTCAAATCACCAAAGGTCCCCAAGGCTATCACTTTTCCTTATTTAGGAAAAATGAACGAATTACCTTGACTATGTATGCATACCTTTTACTCACCAAATCATATATAGAATATCCCTTCATATAAAACAACTCAAATCACCGAAGGTCCCCAAGGCTATCACTTTTCCTTATTTAGGAAAAATGAACGAATTACCTTGACTATGTATGCATACCTTTTACTCACCAAATCATATATAGAATATCCCTTTATAACATCCAGTTACGATATGCATTTGAGTAAACCAATGCACAACTAATTTCTAAACTTAGAGCTATATATCTCTGCTTTAAGAATAGTTGATATTATTATCTTAGAATTACGTGTGATAAAATCCATGAAGTAATCTCTAAGCGTGGTTTTATCCAATACTCAAAATCTTCTTTTTCCAACTTATGAATATTGTAGCAATCCAATGCAATGTCTGATCTCTATAGATATTCCACAAACTATTCATGATAGTCTAGTCCAGTACTTACTTCCAAAAGTATGATCGACTGTGGAATTTTCAAAAATAAAATTATTCGGGAAGTAAAATATACAAAGTGAAACACAATAATAAATTAATCAATTATGGCATCAAACACTTTTATTATAAATAAATATCTATTATTTAATCATCAGAACAGTTACGAATTTACGCATAGTAGATTCTTTTGTGTAATCAACTAACTACTTGACTTAAGTAAAATCACTTATTCCATGTTCTAAACATGCATACTATGCCTCTCTATAGTCATTCCTTTATGAACAAGTCAAGTAGTTAGTTGAAAGCATGTTCTATTTATTGACACATTCTTATTTCTATGCACTTCCAGTTAAATCGGCAATACTTCTGAGTTCTTTGTTTTCATTTAATTGAAAAGGCAAAGGGTGTTGGTTAGTGAAGGCACACTGATCAATACAAGTGAGCTGCTAACATAAACGGAAGCACTGGTGGGCTTTGAGATGCCACAAAGCGAGAAATGTGATTTTAGTTTGCCTTAAACCTTGTCTTATGACTGTAGGTTGAAAATGAAATTTCTACATGGACAGGAACGTATGCACCTTCTAATCTAGGTGGCAAAAGGTTTCGCTGTAATTCAAGAAAATGGTTATGAGGAAACACTTTCGCTAGTAGATTTTAAGGATTTCATAAGGATGAATATGGATACCGGTTGTCTTAATTACATCCTCAAATTCATAATATGATTGCCGCATCACTTTTCATATTTCAAATTATGAGGAATGACAAGGAATTTTTTAAACTTTCGGAGATATGTTTATCATGTCTTTAAAGGGTTTGAACACCTACACTATCCGGAAAAAGTGCATAAGCTTAAGAATCCTAATTAGAGGCTTGAAGAAGCATCACAAAATAGGAATCTGCACTTTCATGAAAAAGTCATAGGGTACTGATTTATAAAAGTCTAGTTGATTTCTGAGTACATGTCAAAGCTAGTGGGAGCTTAATTGTTATGTTGGTATTACATGATGCAATACTATTCATAGAGAACAATGTCTCTAGTTTGCAAGTTGCAAAAGTTAGGAACTGTTTCGTTATACTGGACTTAAGGGAGAGGGAACTCATACTTCATTACGAATCTAAAGGTTTAGAATGCATAGTTTAATAGAACTTAATCAAAATCTTATATGAATAGTGTGTTGAACTGTTTCAACATAAAAGATTCTATACGAAAATATTATAGCAACAGATTCAATAGATATCAAATCCTTATATATGATATAATGAGTCAAGTCCCATATGCTTCAGATATAGGATCGATTTCATATGCTATAATATTCTCTTGTTCTAATTTTTCAAATGCTCTAAGCATTATGAGAAAAAAGACTAGAATTTTAAGTGACTAGAGATATTAAACAAATTATCAAGAACATTCTGAGATTTACTAAATATTGGTTGCTTGTGGATAGTTGGAAGTATGATATTTTTTTT